ACTATCCCAGGAATAAGTATAATAAATAAAAAGCGAGGTGGATACATTCGAACTATTTCTCATCTTGTAGCTCAGTGAACTAAACCGCGGGAAGCTCGTTCGGTCTTCCTCTCCTCACTACATAGACAATGATAGTTGACGATCGCACCCTCTATAATAGTGTTTTTATAAGCGTAGAAAAAAAAAATAAATTGCAGGGAGGTAATAGTCGGATCCTAGGCCTGCCTCGAAAGGCTATAACTACACCTGAGAAGACTATATTATAAAGGTACGGTTAGGTTGTGTATTTTATGGACCAGACAAAACACCTTCGTTAAAGCACAGGACTATCATGGCTCTGTTGAATTCCATGAACCCATGCAAATAACTTGAGCGATCGTCTTATGAACATGAAGGCAATCTAGTGAAAAAAATGGAATATCAGTAAAAAATTTTGGTTATAGAATGAAAAAAAGATTTATATACGGAGATACTATTGCCTTATCTGCTATATATAATAATTAATCCAGGTCATCCATATTGCTACGTGGTTTGTTAGCCTCATATTTGTTTTTAAGGGGCAGATTATTTAATAATCCATAAATATTTATATACCCCAGTCGTATATCAGAAATATTTTTTTCTAATTTTACACGATGAATAAAGCGCATGTTAGATGTTCAATCAACACGCATCACGATTTTTGAGACTGAAATTTTGATATATTTAGCACTACAAATTTAGAATAAGCGTCATAATATATACTGGGCTGTGAATATTCGAAGGTGCAGGTTTGTTTTCAAAAATACTTGTAAATACATATGTGCGCTATTTTAATGCAACCACGTTCTACGTATCAACTGTTTATGAGTCACGGGTACTAATCATGGGTATCAAATCACGGGTAAATCTATGAATTATTACCTTCCGCTGATTAAACTGCGACATTCCGTGATCGTTCCCCTGATCGTATATAAGAATTTAATAAAATTTTCCGTGATCGTTCCGTGATGGTTCCCCTAATCATAGGGATCAGGACTGAGTTTATTAAAGATTTAACTCGCCAACAGCACTTCAGATGCGAAGCATCCTCCTTTCAGGAGACAGTGGCTTAGCGATTTTATATATGTTTATTAAGAAAAAGCCAACAGCACTTCGACGGTGGCTTAGAAAATTTTATATTCGTTTATTATGAAAAAGCCAACAGCACTTCTACAGTGGCTTAACTGTAGTTATCTAGAACTTAATACGTATTCGTAAACACACATGTGCACTATTTTTAGCATAAAGTATTTATTATGTAATGCAACTTAACAGTCCCACGTCCGCTAAAATAGCAGGTTTATTAGTTCGTAAAAACTCGACCGGCTTTAATAATCGATGGCCTGCATTATTGCTTCGCAATGACCCAAAGGGTCTAAATTTTATGTGGTGTCACTCTCCTGCAGAATCATTTCCCACGGTCGATTTTTTTATTAACGAATATTACGAATAATGCGAATAATGTCTAGACCCTTTTACTTACTCTATACGAACCCGCGATAAGAATGGGACTCTGCGAAGCAGGGGATGCTTTGCATCCTAAAAAGGCAATGAGTATAACGTTCTTTATCAGTAGTTTTGATAAAATTCATATGTTATAGGGATTTTGAATTCTCAGATCTTGGAAGATCTAACCCTACTTCTTATTTACAGGAGCGATCGTCAAATCTAAGGGGTTGAAGTTGGGTTAAACTCTGGTTAAAGTCGGGTTGAAGTCGGGTTGAAGTCGGGTTGAAGTCTGCACTTCAGAAAATAAACTCTCATCATCTGCATTTTTTTCTCATATTTATTAGATAAAGAAAAGCTATTAGGGCAAGTAAGCTAGATAGGTTATTATCCGCAGATTGATAGATAAAGGGTCTCCAAAATGAAAAATGCAATGTCTGGTTGAACTCTGGTTAAACTATGGTTGATGTATAGATAATCTCAAGGGTATCATATGATTTGACGGTCCCATGGGTCCGCACGTATAATTTATGCATAAATTCCGTATCCCCGACGGCTTCCAGAGGCCGTCGGAGTATAAACTGAGTTTAATATTTTTATATAAAACCTTGACCGGCTTTAATAATCAATGACCTGCATTAAATTTATGCGGTGTTACCTTAATGCATAATTCTTCCCAAACGTCGATTTTTTAACCATTAACATTAACCAATTTTACTAACGACTCTCTTCTTATTATATATGATCCCGTGATAAGAATGGGACTTAAAAAAGCTATGAGGGTAATGAGTATAACGTTCTTTATCAGTAGTTTTATCAAAAATCATATGTTGCGGGAACTCTCACGGAGTGAGGAAGCTTCGCTTCTGGAATCTCCGCCATCTCCCGAGATCGTCAGATCTAAACCTACCTTAAGCGATCGACGATTATAAGGGGTTTAATTTCACCAGAAAAATAATAAAATAGATTCGGTGTTTGGAACTTATAACCGAATAGACTTGCTTTACATGGTGGGATCTAGTTTGCGTTATCCTAACACAATTACTAATCATGTAACTTTTTTTCTGGTAGGTTTTTAGATCTAACGAATTGACGGTATAAAAAGAAGCAAGTTTCCACCTTAAAATAAGTTAGCAATAACGTTATTTTTTGCTCATATATATTTTTACTTGGTTCACTTGCCCGTATTTTTTTTAAATAATTTGCTATTTCGTTTAACGAATACTATGAAACCGAATTTTTACTTACTATGATTTTTTAAATTTAGGAACGAAAATGAGTAGTAATAAAAAAACCACTCCCAAGACCAACGATAGTACCCCCCAAAGCTGATGATGATAACGCCCCAATAACAATGATAATAACACCTTCACGACTAATGACTCCAATCCAGAAAGCGATCAAAAAAAGCTATCCGGTGTAGGTTTGATTATTGATCTTCCGATATTATGGGTATCAATCCAATAACACGTTTAAAAGTGAGAAGATATTATGGATACAAGGGGAATTGATTTTTTATTCGTATTTGTATTATTTAGCTACGATGTATTTGTATGTTATCTTTCTGGCAACAATTTTTATAAATAAAGAGGGGATCCTGTGGCCTCGCCATTTTTTATTTTAACGCAGCGTGTGAATTATTTTTCTACGAAGTAGGGTATTTGTACCTGATTATGCCTAATTAAAAATTTGTATAAGTTGAGTATGGATTTTTTCCCATTCTTTCATAATATTCATCAATCTATGTAGTATTTAAACCATCCTTTAGTATGCCGCAATGTAATTTACGGTCCCATATTAATAAGCTTCGTGGAGCTACCTTTAGCATGAGAATTAGTCTCAAAAATTCGAAATTTAATTATTATATCTGTTTGCTTACGATGTATTGAGATTCAATGTTACCGGTATTTTTCTTCAATGACAAAAGTCACGTATCTATACAAACACAATTAACACTTATACAAGACATACAGTGCCAAGAAACAAATTAATAACGTTAGCTTTAGTAAAACTCTTCGAAAATTATGTTCCGTAATCGCTTTTATACTGAAAAAATTTCCAACACATAATATTTAACCAATTAAATATGTCAGATACATAACATGTCATATATAACTTGGGTCGTTGTACGTAGTAATTTATCACAATAAAGCTTTATTTTTTACATTTTCAGAATGTGCTACATCCAGGTATGTATTACGTAATCAGTTTAGATTGAAATCTATCTTTCGTTAGAAATTACAACCGAAACTTGGACAAATTCCGGTGAGGGTGGGGGTAATCTGCAATAATCGGAGCGAGATAAAATAGGCGAAGTGTCTGAGGTAATTACCTCCAAAACTTTAGAAACGGAATCCTTCAAATTACATAAGTAGTGAGTTACATCTCATTGAGATAATAAAAAACATTTTTAAAATCTTATCAATGATCACTTACTTTTACATTGTACAATGCCTCCAATATTGGCACCAGACTTATGAATTGGGATTTTTGAGTGGGTAAAACTACGTCTGCGACCAGATACATCCTGTACAACCCATCATATTCTAAGTCCATTTGATAAATTCGGATTTGCACTCCTATAAACGCAATCAAGTATTAGCAAATGTATAAGAATTCTAAAATCAAACCAAGCCCGTGCACTTGCCACAAATCAACACTCCGAAAGATGTCATTCCAATCCTATTTCCATACTTTTTAACTAACTCATCCAAAGTACCGGATTGAAAATTTGCAAGCTTGACAAAATCTTGACAAACCAATGAAGATAGATTTTTATATTTTGGTGATTTGACTTCGCCAAAGAGAATCTCATCATTTGTATTCACTAGGAGCTTAAAATCCGGTTTTTTACCTCGCGAATTTTCTTTATTGTTACGACGTCGATTTTTTGACGAAGCGCTTTCACTGTTGGCCCTTTTATTTAAACCAGGCATTGGATTATATGATTTAACCAACCATACAGCAAGCTCAAACTTAAACCCTCACCAGATCAACTCAAAAATTGGATCGCGAAAGATTTCTTTTAGCAAATCGTGCAACATGTCATGAACGAAGGTGTCTTCGTTGTCATTATTGGCTTTGAGGTTCAGTAATAAACTGTAAAAGAAGATATTCGTTTAATTCAGTATTGCATCGACTATGGTGGTTTTAATTACCTACAAATTACGTAAAATAATTTGAATTCCACAAAATTTTTCTATGTCATCTTGGTTGCTCAACTCGTTAACTTTTGAAAAATTTCTACACCAAGTCTTCTGAATATCAACTATTGGTGTGAATGCATTCAATAGCTAGAATTTGGAAAGGGAAGCTTGGGATTAACTTACAAAACTGTGTTATAACCAAATCTGAAAATAGATATACTTTAGAATATTCCAAAATCATATTTTGGACCACATCTGGCAAACTTGGAGGCACTTGTCTTTGGCATATTTGGCTCCAAACTGTTTCAACGCAGGTGAGATACAACGGCCTTGTCTGCTCTATAAGCATTATGTTGGACAGGCAACTATTTGATTATATACGCATTAATGAACATAATGTGAAATAGTCGTAATTCAGATAGCATATAATACTTACAGAATCTTATGAAGATCAGTTTTAAAGGACAGAAAAGGGATCTTTTCAATTTCTCGGATTGTTGATAGTTGAAAATTACGAAATTCAGTTGAGAGATTATATTTATCAATAATCCACTGAAAAAGTGCGTGAGTATTGTTATTTAATATACTGGCAAAACATTAATCACGTACTCACATCCTTTTTAGAGTCATTTCTTATATCGATCTCTTTAATAACATTTTCCCAAGAATGTCGCTTCTAAACAGTTGATGATTAGTACATCAATTTGTTTGATTTTTTGGCACCAAAAATAATAATACCTTAGTCAATAAATTACGTGTGTCGAATTGCTCAGACTCATCTATTTTATACATGCATATTAAATCTGTGTTTAAAATATGACAAATACAAAACTAATGTGTTACCCTCTCTTTTGTTAGGCAAATCAGTAATGTGATCAACTTTATTTATCTTTGAGTCGGCCGAAATTAATATTGAACTATTAACAGATTCCGTCAAGCGAGGTTTTTTAGAATTTACATGATCGTTAGGAAGGAGATCATCGATGCGATTTCGAATCGCTTTTCCTGTTTTCTTGGTTAGCTCTCTATCAATAGAGTCCTGGTAAAGTGCGAAAGAATTTTAGGGCTGGATATAATACAACTGAACTTATTTTTGGCCAACCTTTTCCTCGTCAAGAATAGAAGCAGACGATGATTTAAAATAATCTTCGATAGCTTGCTTATATTTATTCTTTATGTAATTTTGGTAGATATCAACAAATTTGGGTTCGTCTGGATAAACTTTGAGGAGCGCGCTAAGAACTGAGTGCCATTTCGAAACAGCTGTTTGCTTCGACGTGTAATTGAACCTTTTAAAAAACTCTACTGGTGTTGGATTGTCGTTATTAATAAAAAAATCACGCTCTTGTGGGGTCATTATCGAGTCAAATGTTATTTTTTACAAAGAAATATTTGACGTGGAACGAAGGTTGCATAACAGATAAAAAAAAAATTTTATAGCTACGCGTAGGGATGCCATTTTCTAATACTAGATGATCTTAGATCAGATCGTTAGCTACGCGTTCTATTATTAAATCATGTGACGCAATCACCAGGTACAAATTATGCCAAAATAAGCACTTAACGTTAAGTTTCGACAAAGTAAATACTTAAATTCTGACGAGTATCTTATTAAAGGGTTTCGGCTAGCATCTTTAGTCCTGTGAGATGTTGTTTGGCTCAGATTGGCAAAAACCGCGGTTATTCTTCATCAGAAGGCCAGTTTGTGACCAGATTCTCTTACAGAAGACATTATAATTACTGAGCGTTCAGAGGAACTGCGGTTATCCCTCAGCTCTTGAAGTTGTGGCTCACGCTTGGTTGTCAAGAATTATATTGTGAGCGCGTCCTAATATTTCATGCCAAGTTCTCTTTGATTTCTCGTAAGTATTTAATATTCTTCTAAACAGAATCATAATTTGCAAACCCTTTGCTAATTGTATTTTGTTTTGTTCTTTCAAATTTCAAGGAAGATTACTTTTACCCTATATGCCAGGACATGTGCAGGGTTGGTCAAAAACTGCGGTTATTCTCAAGGAGGACACTTGCTATGGCTTGCTATATAGAAGGTGGTACACTGACTGATCATTCTGAAGAACTGCGGTTACCCCACCAGCTCTTTTCAGAGTTGCTGGTTCATGATCAGTCGACAAGAGTGTGTATCACGCGCTCGATCACTTGCTGACTCGGCTGATATGAATGCATTGCTAGAAAAACGAGCTACAGTAGAAATATGTTTATTGATTGCATGCCCAATATAAGTGAAACCTTTATTTTAGCTCTTATATAAGCGAGTCCTTGCTCCATGTTTTTTCTTCATACTAACTACAGACTTTCATATCTTCATAATTTCCGAAACAAATTATCTGGCACATGAAAGGTCATGCTCTGCAAGAAAACCTTCCCGAGATGAATAATTTCAAACCTATAGGAGGAATTCCAGAAATATGAAAATAGCTCGTTCCAATCTTACAAATAAGTTATGCATAACGTTAAGCCTTGTAAGGAATTTCATATACGGAATTTATTCTAACACATTAGTGAATTTATATGAAAAGATAAAACAATTACTTATACCTGAACAATAATTCTGCTTGAACTATCGTCAATATTATTACCAAGTTGTTAACTCTGATTTATTATTTGAGCATTAGCACATTCACATCGCTTATGTATTCCATTCACTACTTTTTTGCATGTTTTGCAATACAGATGTGAATGGTGATTGCATTCGTCACAAACCTTGCACCGTGCTTCCACCCTCTATAGATATGCCACTTTTCGATATAATTTCGACTTTTTTGATTTGTTATATTAATAGAAAAAAATCCTGTGCCCCGTCTCAAATAAATTATGCATAAGCAGGAGAATTTTTTACCATGCTTCAAAGTTAACATTAAGCCCGGCGGACAAACCAAAATACTTTATTAAAAATTAGGCGCATTTATACACAAATGCTAACACGATTAAATTTTATTACATAGATTGTGACAGCTTGTCACAACGACACGTGACTACATGATGGATTATTTATCTTTTAAAATCGACAAAATCAATATCGTCCTGAGATATATTTGCTATTGTTGTAGCTGTAAAAGACCGAATTCTTTGAATCTTATCTATACCTATTTCATTAAAAATATCGTAAATTTTCTGAGCTCTTTCTTTTGTCTTTCGAAGTAAGCTTTCACTGACTATTTCAGGAAGCTGAGTTCTAACCTCATTATTAACTAACCCTTGAGCTGTACGTTTGGGATTGGTTTTTCTGTAGTGATCGAAACGATTCTCCAATGCTTTTCCGAAATGAAAATAGCTAAGAATAACATCTTGAGACGTTTTTTTATAATTATCTTCAGATTCTATGATTTTTTGGTACAAATTAAGAAAATTGATCAAGTTTGTATTTGGTTCAGAGGCGGATTCAGATCGCGGAATTATTGTATTTCCTGGATCATTAGTTGATAGTTCCTGAATAAGTCTTTTTAATATAGGGGAATCTTCTCTATTAACTTGCTTCTTGACTTTTTTACTAAATAATTTAACTTTAGAAGTATCTTCACTAGGTCTTTTTTGAGTCTGCTTCATATAGTCTGGATATAATGGAAGATGTAATAAGGTAGGGTTAAAAATATTCGTATTCCGACTTTGACCAGATACCATTTGTGGTGACATATCCATTGGGGTGTTTGTATCATTATTGGGATAAAAAAGGTGGTAGTTCTGTTACATCGATATCTTCTAACTCTAATTCAAAAGATTTAGAACAATTAATATTAGGACAAATTTCTATACTGTTTATGATACTTTTTTCAAGACAAGTGCGATGATATATATGTCCGCAGGGTAAAAATGTAAATGGTTTTTTTATTATACTCAAAAATAATTCTTTACTACATAGTGAGCATGGATTTAATTCAGGAACATTAATATTACTAACAATTTTTTCTGGAGATAAATTTTTTAGAATGTTTAATGCAAGTATTTCGAGAGATAAAATATTTTCAGAAGTTGGGTCAGTAGACATATTCAAAGGTAAAACTTTGCACGATTGAAAGAGATAGTATACGTTATTAAGGGTTATAGACAGATAAGTATTTTATAATTTTCTTTATACTTAGCTCGTTTTTATATATTAAACACCCTCACGACTAACGAAACTAATTTGCAGATTCTATTAAGCTAATTTCGGATTTGGCGATCTGTTCATTCACGAATTAATTAGTATGGGGAGGGA